AGAAAGCCTCATCTTTCTCCCTCGGAGCAGCTGGTAGTTTCGAACCGCAGACCTTAAGGTTCGCAGCCCAATTCGTAACCACTATGCTACCAGAGCTTCCTTAGCTAAGTATCTAGTCTGTTATTTTAAATATATTAGTCCTGCTTCGTGATTTTTAAAGCGGTCAAAATGTTTGAGGTAACAAGAAACAAAGGTCAACACCACAGCTAAAAGCCCAGAGGAAAACTAAGTTTAACTTTCCCTTAGACGATTCTTAATGGTAATAGATGGCAGTGTTAACCCCAAAATCAAATTACAATGAAAACTCAGGTGGTTTTAATTTGGACGCGCTCAGATTCTAATTTACTACCCAGTTAAAAACTTACCTCGGCATGGCCATGGGCTTTCTAAAGACTCCTCGGTAATTACATGCCAATCACTGTTCAGTGTCTGAAACAAGAAGTCAGGAGCGCTTTCATGGGTCAGCCGCTGGAATACTCGCAAGATGCCCAGCCTAATCTTCAGCCATAGCCTTCCCCGTCTTATCAAGAAACAGCTTGTATTTTTAATGAACAACCTGTGTTCCCTTAATTAGTGCACATGGATACAGGTTAAGAGCAAAAAGTTCAGCTGTACTGACAACTATTGGCCACTTGATGTCAGTACAGGTAAGCCTAACACACTTTTTCTGTGCTGCTTGACAAGCTGAAAAGAAAAAGGAAAGAACTTTACATTGAATCTTAGCTTTTCAAAAGCCCTCCCATTCAGCAGTGCAGAGGCTTGGGATTGTGAGCAGACTCACCTGAGACTGCCTCTGAGACCAGGGAGGCCGCTAGAGCAAAAAAGCCCATGGTTTGGTGTATCATTAAATGCCAGGTCCAATGGCTCTGATGCAGTGGTGAAATGCCTTCAAGATCGTGCCAGCTACACCATTTAAATGTCATAGAGTGTAAACACAACTCTGTCAAGTACAATTAAGCGATTTATTATAAGTCCAAAGATGGTCCGGGTTGGTAAAATATACAAAGAGGGAAGACGGCCACTCTACTGCATAATGAAGGAAAGCTTGTTCCTGTACAGCTGAAGCAGATTTTCAACTACAAAATCATGATTGCTTAAGACAATCATGGGAGTCAAAGGCGGAGACTTAGCAGTGATTGGTAGATAAAATATGTGGGAACACATGATTGGTTTTAAGTACATAATTGCAATTGGACATGCTCCTCAGGACAGTCAAAGGACAACGGCGGGCAGGGTTTTCCCGGAACCTACTAATCAAATTGTTTTCTCAAGCATGTCTGTTCCTGTAAAGATTGATAATGCTGTGCGTAAAGGCCACTTGGGCAGAGGCTATCACATTCTGCATCCATTTGACCACAGGAGAAAGGACCCTGGGGGTAGATTGTGATCTCTTCCATTTGCCTGACAACAAAGAAAATTTTCCTGTAAGATATATGGTTAGATCGGTACACAGTTTAGTGAAATTGTTAGGAAAGGCAGCCTTAAAGTTCAACATGGATCCTAGACTCATGTCAAGATTGGAGTTATGATGAGAGAGAGATGAGGAAGGGCTGGTTGGTCCGAAGTGTGGTGAGACTTGGGGACATCTGAGACCATGAACAAGGACATAGCCACAGAGGGCTAGAGCTGAGAGTAAAGCATCCAGCTGATATGAAGTGAGGGGAGATGCATAAGAACACCCAAACTTGCAGATAATACCCATCTGACCTAGCCTCGATGGCTTGATATTCAGAACTCGACTAGAGGAAGATAAAACAAAGAAAATTTTTTATAAAGGAAACAAGGGTAAATTGCTACAATTTGATGAACTTGATATATATTCAGGGAGGTAGTAACGCTAAACACCAACAGAGAGGGAAGGTTTATCAGTGCTATCCCCTCTGGACACAGGGTACATTGGGACGGACAACTTAGATATTGGCTACCTAAAATGAGGGGGAGATAGAGGCACAAAGTGACTGGCTTACACTGTTTTCAGGAGGGAGTTTAGTTTAAGAGTGTGTGGGGGAAAAAGAGTCCCCACTGAATAGTTTTCATCTTGTCTAGATGGGTCTGGTTAAAAGAGATGGGGATAAGATTGTTATGATTCAATAGTAATTGTTATCATGACTAATTACGATTGTCACCAGTGTAAAGGTATACATTTTATAACAAAAACGGGGAAGTAGTTAATCTTACAGTCCAGAAACAGAAGACCCTAGGACCATCAAGGGAGAAGAGCATAAGCGGAATGTGGGACCTTATCCAGAGAAGCAGCGACACCAGAGATGGAGGCTGAGATGGGGCATGGAGAGAGGGAATAGCTGAGGACTCTGGATTCATGGAAAGAGAGGGACCAGGAGATAGGCTTGCAGAAGGTGCCTTTTGGTGGTTTAAATTATTATATATGCTTGAATGTTAAAAAAAAAAAAAAAAAGCTAAAATGAATAGAGAAATACTGTTAACTGATGGCACATGGAAGGGATTATAATTATTGTAATGAAACAAAGTATATGATTTGTTGAATGCAAAACAGATGATCTTTGACTCAATTCACAATAAAAACTTAAAAAAAAAAAGAAAAGCAGAGTTCACACTTGTCAGAAACACAGGTGTTTTTTATGACTACCAAGATATATGAAGGGGTTTCAAAACAGTTCATGTGAAAATTCCACTATATTTTCATTGTATGTACTCTACATATGTGCTGAGCTGTTATAACAGTTTGCATACAAGAGACACGACCTTCAGCTGTTGCATTCACTATGTCCGGTTAGCTGGGCCAGGTCCTATTTTTATGGAATTTCTGAATTCTATTATGACTTTGTGGGACTACAGACATGTGCAGTCCAACGAAGCCTAAATGAACACTACATGGTACAAGGCTATACCTTACTGTTGGAAACATAAGAAATCCACCAACAGTACAGTTAAACTGGCACAGAATTCAATTCTATTAGTGAGTTTCTCAAAATATCCCAGGCAAAGCCCAGTGGTTTCTAAATTAAAATGTGGATGGGAGATGATTTCTGTTATCACTTAAATCAGAAAGAATTTTGAGTCGTAAGAAAAATAAATTATATGCCACAAACTCTGAAAAGCAACAGCTAAACAGAAGAACCATTTACTATGCGGCAGACCCTTGACCTAGCACTTCCCTACATTCCTCCCCACTTTGTGTTTACAACCACCTGGTGAGGTAGGTGCTATTACCCCCAGTCTGTATATGCCCACCTGGGGTTCAGGGAGACTGAATAAGTTCCATGGAGCCCACTGGGCTAAAGTCTGTGATTCCAAACACTATCCTATATCGATAGCTCTTAAAACTGAAAGATATTGCAAATGAAACACAATAGAAATTACATTTCAATACATACCTATATTCCCTAGGAAAATAAAGTCCTCAGAACAGATTTAAAGAAAAATTGGGAGTATCACATTTTAATAGAAATGGTTTTATTTTTAAAAACAGAAAAAGGAACTAGATATTTAAAAATACAATGTAGGAATATTTGTGTTTATTTGGCTTAGAGTATCTAGAATGTAGTGACTGAAATGGCTGACTCATGTGTTCTAAAAAGACAAAAACGTAGGGGAATCAGTACCTACCCGTTACATTTATAATAGTATCGTACTTGAAGAATACAACAATACATATTTAAAAGTACTAGCAAAGATTATAGTTTTATTGCATTCATTGTCTACACATGCACAAACGAGAAGCCTTTTTAAGTGATGTACAACCAGGAAGCTGAAGTGAATTATAAATCTGATTAGTATCACTCACTTCATGTAAATTTATCTATTTACTGAAAGTTCATTCCAATCTTCTCTCATCCTTCCTTGTGGCTGAAGTTCTCATAAAGTTCCTGACGTGGGTCTCAAGCTGATCAATGACACAAAATGGGAAATGTCTCTTCGAACTTGAGCTCAAGCCAAGTGGGTCAGCGAGAATACCATCAACAGTGATTATTAGATGAAAGTTGAGATACATGAAAATTTTACTTCGGTTTATCCAGGTGCTCCACAGATGATTTTTGATGATTAAAAAAAGGCTCTTAAAGCAAAGAGCAGTAGCCATTATGCCTGAGTACTAACTGTTCTTTTGCCATTGGTGTTTCTGGAATTTTCTGTATTGCTACCTTTTATAGAGTCTAACAAGTTTTTAATTCTTTCACTGGCAGGCTTTTTCCTTCTCTTTTTGTCAAGAAACTTACTATTTGACACAGATGGCAGTAAGAGCGCGGCCAGCCCCCAGGGCTGATTACGTGATGGGGAAGGACGATCTTTATCTTCCTGTTGTAAAATCCAGGCACTTTCTCTGGCCAGCTCTACAAATTTCTGCAGCTGGCTTTGATTTACATTTTTGCTGATGTTGAGAGAAATTTCAAAAGGATTCTGAATGTGCAGAGGAGAAGATTCAGGTTTGTTTTGTTCCTTTCCCTGTAGATTATTACAAAGAAGAGAAAAAGGTGTATGTGAAAATACATGAAGGGCTCAAATGTAAAAAGAGTTTGGTTAGTTTACTGACTTGTCACAAACATATAAAATACCAGCATTAACTCTGCATTAGCTCCCTAAGGAACTGGGTATGTATGTGTGTATGTGTGCATACTTCTGACATTTCTCTGGACTGTGGAAAAATATATTCATTCTATGAGCTACGGATGCTGATGTCATCGTTCAGATGAAAGGAGTCTGGGCTAAATCAACCAATAAAAGTATTTTGAAATAAGACAACAATTTTTCACTATAGGATAGATCTGAAAAGGATTTTTTTTTTTAAAAAAAGGCAAAACATGAAGATATACTTTTGAATCTAGCTAAAAATATAAGTATTAATTGAAAGTCTGTGGAAAAAGAAGCACACAAAATTAGAATACTTAAATATATAATGTATATTTCCCAGGAATAAAATGAGAATAGAAGAAAAGGAACAAAAGGTTACTCATTGTTCATTTTAAAACAGTAAAACTTTTCTATTACCTCCCTAAAGCTCCAATAATACAGCTCTGTGAGGTCACATAATACCTCATAGAAGGAAATAAAACAAAAAGCTAAAGCTAGCAGTGATCCATCAGTCTGTATAATCTTTTCTGTTTCACATAATATCACGTATGTTGTTGTTGTGTGCCGTCGAGTCGGCTCCGACTCATAGTGATCCTGTACAGGGTTTCTGAGGCTGTAAATCTTTACGGGAGCAGAAAGCCTCATCTTTCTCCTGCGGAACCGCTGGTAGTTTCAAACTGCTGACCTTGAGGTTAAGCAGCCCAACTTATAACCACTACACTACCAAGAGTTCCTTAGTACTAACTATAAACCCAATGGGCAAGAGTCCCCAGCATAAGCAGCACCTGCTTACTCCCCAACTTCCTTCATCTCCCTGTCCACCTTCTGTGAGCCTGAATATAATACTACAACAAGGACAGAATGCTTTGTGTATCTGGTGCCCTTTTTCTTCTGGGCTGCATTCTAGAGCTTTCTGTGCCCATCTCATCCCTTTAAAAAAAAAAAGGGTCTCCATTGGGAGGATATGAGAAGAATGAACAAAGGAGAGTTCAAAACAAACACAAGAATAAAGCTTAGTATCTGGGCATGTGTTTTATAAAGCCAGTTTAGTTTACAACCAAGTAATTCAATGATCAACAGGACAGGCTCAGACAGAGCATTCTCACACGTATCCCCACTTGTAAATAAATCTTGCCTGTGTTCTGCTCTGGTGTTTTTTTTTTTTTTTCCAGAAAAATGTTTATCATTTCAACTATTGAAATGAACCAAATCGTAAATTCACTTCCTCTAATTAAAAATAAGTTATATAGAACTCAACATGAGGAAATCACTAAAATCTTTGCGAATGTGCATCTAATTTCTTCCATGGGAACACAAATCCAGTTTTAAAATATCTGCATGGAAAATGATGATTTCCAGGAAGGTTTTCAGACTATATTCCACACTGTCCAGGACAGGCATAAGTGATGGCAGCTTTCCATCTCAGGTGAGAGCCCGGGCTTTGTTCTTCAGAAGAAATGAGATGACTAATCTTACTCGAATGATGTAGCTAGGCATCCATTTCCTTATTAATATCTACAAGGAGCTCTGGTAGCGTAGTGGTTATGAATCAGGCTGCTAACCTCAAGGTCAGCAGTTTGAAACTACCAGCTGTTCCGCGGAAGAAAGATGAGGCTTTCTACTCCCGTAAACATTTACAGCCTCGGAAACCCTGTACAGGGTCACTATGAGTCAGAACTGACTCCTGGGTACTTAACAACAACAATTATAGTCTTTGGAACCCTGATGTGGTGCAACAGGTTGAGCACTCAACCTCAAGGTCAGTTTGAACTGCAAGGTGAGCAGTTCAAACTCACCAGCCACTCAGGGGAATCCCTATACAGGGTCACTGTGGGTCGGAACGGACTCCATGACAACTGTAGTCTTTTAATTCAATAGCAATTGTTAGTGTGGTTTGAAACCAACTATTTAGAATTAGTACAGTAGAACACCAAATACCTAATAATCAAATCTTAACACATGTTTACCTGTCTAATATTTATGGAACTTTTATTGAAGGCAAAATTTCCAAAGTATTCAAAAAATTCCTTCAGTAGTAACTCTGCAAAGAAAGAAAACAAGGAAATTAAGAGTAAATTCTGTTTCAATCCAAAAAAAGAAAAGAAAAGGAAAATCACTTACCTAGTGTCTCTGTGTTTCCTGAAGGTTTAATTTTATTCAAGTCACCAGTAAATGTACAGTTGTGGCCTTCTATTATGCATTCATCTTCTGGATCTTAAATAAACAGAGATGGAAACATCTTTCACAATATATTTTAAAGATAATCCCTTCTTCAGAAATGGAATCTAGTATTTAAAGTAACCAATACTACAGATTAATTTGAGCTGTTAGTCAGTATTCTATCTATTGACAGGTTATGACTAGCATGAGTTAAAGGAAGAAGGAGTTGGTAATCTACTTCTGAAAGTCAGCCAATCAAAACCTCGAACACATGCACAATCCAGTTGTACACGGGGTTATCATGAATTAGGGGCCAACTCCACAGCAGCTAGCAACAATAACAGGGTTTTTCAAATGCTTTTGAAGAGATTTAAGCTTAATTAGAAAGCAGCAAAGTGAACATTACAATTATTCTTACTAACAATCGCTGTCCATCAACAGTCCAATGATTCCTAACCTGTCTTCAAGGTAATCAGTTTTCTAATTAGACATGAATACGTAGGTAAATCCCATTTCTCACCAAGTCAAATTCTGGCATTATTCTTAATCAGTAATGCTTAATTTAGATCTACCTTTTCATTCTTACCACTTCTTTCTTCATTTACTCAACTATTCATCCATGGCACAAACTGAATACACCTTAAGAGTTTTGTGAAACTTCAAGTGTTTCACAAGATGCACACACTACAGAGTGACTGGGGAGTCCCTGGACAGCAAGCACTAACAGTACGTCCTGGACTACGAGGTTGGTGGTTCACATCCACCCATAGGTGCCGCATAATAAAGGTCTGGCAATGTGCTTTCAGAAGGCCCCTGCCACTGAAAATTTCCCTATGGAACATTCAGTTGTATCATTCTGCATACAAGGAGTTACCTACCAGGAGTCAGAACCAACTTGAAGGCTGCTGGGTTTGTTTTTTAAGGTGTGACTGGGATTCACCACAACAAATTTCATAATATGCTGGACTGCAGTAGTCACTTTTACTCCTATATCATTAGTGGTAAGCACACTCCTAATTATTGATGAATATGGTCACTGTGAGACACCTTATCCACTCTACCTCCCTTTGACGTGGTGGGGAGAATCCCACTCTTACTTCAAAAATCTAAGCACTAACTCTTAACGCCAAGCTGTTAACAAAACCTGCTGCCACTGAGTTAATTCTGACGTGCATGTGATGTTGTTAAGCGCTGTCCAGTCAGTTCCCACTCATAGGGACCCTGTATAGGGTTTCTGAGGAACGGCTGGTGGGTTTGAGCCATAGACCATGGGGTTTAGCAGGCCAGTGCTTATCCACTACACTATGTGATTGTAAATACCGATTATCAAACAGGAATCAGAATGAGGAAAAGCAATCTTTCTTCAAACGTGTGACTCCCTTTTTTGTTGCTTTTCGTTACTTCAATCCCCTTTTAGTGGCTGTCCTACTTCTTTTAAGACTGTCAACCTACAATCAAAGCATTACTATGACACACAAGCTGGAGAAGGCCAGAGGAAAACACAAGAATTGATGTGTCTCAACTGTGGTGCTGGCAAAGAACATGACTATGTGGACTGTCAGAAAAACACATCCATTTTAGAAAACTTACAACCAGGATGCTACTTTCAAGTGAGGATGATAAGACTTTAGCTCCCTTACTTTGAACATGTTGCCAAGAAAGAGTAAGAACTAGTGGTTGGTAAAGCAGGTCAAGAAAATGAAAAAAACCCTCAGCAAGACACAAAGGACACTGTCAATGACACAGACTTCCCCAACAGCCAAAGCAATGTACGCAAACATAGTAACAATCACAGAGGTGGCAATGTTTTGTTCCTTAGGCATAAGGTGCTATGTGGTTGTTAGGTGCTATTGAGTTGATACCGACTCATAGCGACCTTATGCACAATAGAACGAAACATTGCCCGATCCTGGGCCAACCTCACTACTGTTGCCACGCATGAGACCATCGATGCTGCCACTTGGCCAATCCATCTCGTTGGGGGTCTTCCTCTTTTTCTCTGACCCTCCACCTTACCAAACATGATATCCTTCTCCAGCTACAGGTCGCTCCTGACAAAATGTCTAAAGCATGAGACAAAATTTGGCCATCCTGACCTCCAAGGAGCACTCTGGCTGCACTTCTTCCAACACAAATCTGTTGGTTCTTTTGGCAGCCCATGGCACTTTTGATATTCTCCTCCAACATAACTCAGAAGCATCAATTCTTCTACAGTCTTCCTTATTCACTATCCAGCTTTTGCATGCATATGAGGTTATTGAAAATATCATGGCTTGGGTCAGGCGCACCTTAGTCCTCAAGCTGACATCTTTCCTCTTCAACACTTTAAACAGGTCTTGTGCAGCAGATTTGCCTAATGCAATACGTTGTTTGATTTTTTTTTTTAATGTTTTATTGTGAATTATGTGATACTTTACATGGGAGAGCACTAGTTTTACATTCATCCTATCGTATATCATTTCATTGCCATGGTTACAATACCCTACATGTATCATCAACCAACCAAAGGCTATACCCTGCAAGCCTGCCCCCTGGTCATCAGTACAGAGCTCCTCTCCCTCTCTGGGTCTAAAGACCCCAGCTGCTCCATCTCTCCACGTCATCTTCTCTGCTTACATCTTAGGCATCACAGCTTCTCTGAGTAGGGTCCTGCTCTCTGCTCTTCTCCATTGATAGTCCCAGGGACCACCGCTCCTAGACTGAAAACTTAATCACTCCCCTCCTTGCTACAAAACATCTACCTTTCCAACCCTCACAATCAGTCCTGATAACAATTATTTACTATTGTAATCAAAAGAAACCTATCCAAATTTCCCTTCATCAACCCCACCTAGACAGATTGGATACTACTCAGTGGAAATTCTACCTTCCTCCATGCCCTCTGGATCTAGGCTCCCTCTTGAAAGCCTGTAAGCCAGTCACTTCTTGCCTTTGTAGCACCCCCCATTTTGGGTAGCCAATGTCCAAGTTGCCCATCCCTGTCTACTCCATGTATGGAGGGGGTGGGAATGATCCTCTCTGTAAAGATTTGTTCCCTCTTTTGAGCTACTGCATCCATAGGTGTAGATCAAGTTCATCAAGCTGTATCAGAGTACTCTTTTTTTTTCCTCTTCTTCCTTCTTCTAGTTGAGATCTGATCATCTAGTCATTGAAGCCAGGTCAAGTGGATATTATCTGCAAGTGTGGGTGTTCTTATGCATATGCCCTCTCTTTTTATTAGCTGGATGCTTCACTCTCCACTCTAGTCCTCTGTGGCTATTTCACTGACTCTGGGTCCAAGAGTCCCCAGGTCTCGCCACACTGCTGGCCAACCAGGTCTCCACCAGGATTCACAGGAGTCTATTGAACATTGTAGGACTTAGCTTGCAGATTCAGTGCTGTTTTTCCCTCACTTCCCCTTATCGGTGACAAACGTGGGTCACCAATCAGAGCGTGTATTCCCATTGAGTCTTAGTCTTGGAAGAGGGTTTGCTCTGAGGGGACCACTTGCCTTGATGTCTCCTGGGCGAGCAACTTGCTTGTTCTTGTAGGAATCAGTTTTGTATTTTTCCTGTTGGTCTTTCTTTCAAGAAGTATCTTCTGTTCTTCTAGCCGCTCCAGGCTGGTCTGTCTGTCCTCTCAAATAGAAATTTCCCACCTCTGAAGATTCTGGATGGGTCACAGCCAATTTGATGGAACCTAACACCACAGAGCACTGGACTGCAAGTAACAAGGCCAGTGGTTCAAACACACTGGCCTCTTCTTGGAAACCCTATACAGGGTTGCTGAGTCCGAACTGACTCCATTGCACTTAGCAACAACAACAGCATCATAGAAAGAATGAAATCCATGTTTAAGCCTAGTGAGAAAACCAAAGCTGTCTCAACACGTATTGCTATTCATTTTAAAAATTAAAGATTTTTAAACAGAAAATACTAAGACTTAAAGGGAAAAAAAAAGATCCTTTGATTTAAGACAGGGCCATCTTTGTTCTCTTAAAATCTCTAAAGACTTCAAGGCTAACAAACAGTTCACTTGTCAGGTGGTGCCCACTCTTCTCTTCCGTTTTCCTACTACAACAGTCTTCCAAAAGACATCTACGTGGTCCAGTGCTATAGCCACTAGCCACAGATGGCTATTTAAAATAAAAAATTCAGTTCCTCAGTCACACTAGCCATATTTAAAATTCTTAACAGCCATGTATGACTAACTGCTACCAGACTGACCAGCAGATATTGAACACTGCCATCATTGCAGAAAGTTCTGCTTAGAAAAATTAGTCTAAACCAACCCAGAATACGACCCTGTCTTTATTTGCTTAGTCCCGTGGCATTAGCTTTCTTCTTAAAAATGGTATCTGAAGTACTGGTAAAAATTCAGAAGTAAATACAAACACCCTTACTTGTGAGAAAAATAGCCATATAAGTACCATTATTAACTTATAATCGCAACTTGAAGACTGACTCTTTAGTAAACATGTGATCTTAAGAATTATATACACTACTGAGGTTAGGTCTGTCCTAAATGTATTGCCCTTGCTTCCTTTGGTACAGCAAATACTCTTTTACTGCACGATGCACATGACAAATGAAATTCACTGAGTAAACATCAACACTCCCATACTCCAGACTAAAAACCCTTTCCACATTTTTCATGGAACTAATGCATTACAGGAGTCCTGGTGTGGCGCTGTGGGTTAATGCACCAGACTGCAAAGCCATTTGAACTGCAAGGCTGGTGATTCAAGCTCACCAGCCGCCCCCTGGAAACCCTATACAGGGTCGCTATGGGTCAGAACCGACTCAATGGCACTTAACAACAATAATGTATTACAAGGAGTCCTTGTGTAATTCTGTAGGGTAAGCACTAGATTGCAGTTCCAGCTCTCCACCACACCTGCTCCTTGAAACCTTAAAAGTGTCACTACGTGTCGGAACCAAATCTATAGCACTTCACATCAAAAACAACAATGCATCATAATGGAGTCCTGGTGTGGAGCTGGAGGATAAGCACTAAAATGCTAACTGCAAGCACAGTGGCTTAAACCCACAAAACTGCTCCACGGAGACCCTACACAGGGCTGTGCGCCTCAGAAACCCTGCACTGGAATCATTCATGATTGTATAGAGACCCATCCCGGCAATTCTTGGTTCTCAACAGAGCAACAAAACTGCAGAATAAATAATACAGGGCACACAATCACTTAGGCTAATCTTTCTGATCATCGCTGTTAAGTGCCATCAAGTCAGTTCCAACCCTGTGTAGGGTTTTCAAGGAGTAGCTGGTGGATTTGAACTGCCAACTTTGCAATTAGCAGTCCAGTGCCACATCGGGACCAAAAATCAGTTCTGTCTGCCACATGCAATTTCAATAAAGAACCCAAAATTGGCACATATATCAATAAGACACATGGTAACAACATGAGTTCATATAAAGGCATAGAAATTTTTCTTTTACAAAAAATATCTGGGAGGCCTACATGGTTAAATGTTTGACTGCTAGCCCAAAGGTCAATGATTCTAATCCACCTGGAGGAGTCTCAGAAGACAGGTCTAGTGATCTGCTTCCAAAATGTCACAGCCTTGAAAACAGAGCGGTTCTATTCTGCACACATGGGGTCGCCAGGAGTCTGAATTCACTAGATGGCAACCAACACCACGTTATTAAGAAGAGTCGCTGAGATGAAACTGAAACAGTTGAACACATTCAGCTTCTATTACCATCATTACCAGATCAAAAGCCTCTAGCGTGCCATCGGTCAGCAGTAATGAAATGGGAGAAGGCAACAGATGGTTCTGCCCTCCTAACTCACGTAGGCTAATTAACTTTAATATTTGGGGGTGAGGAAAGTTGCTAGGCAGGAAGCTTAGCCAAGCTGTCATTGTGATTCCTTCTAACCCACTCAGCCAGAGTAATTTTCAAAAACGCAAATCTAAGCAACTTTTTCTTACAGACTTGGATGCAGTCATATGAAGACTCTAAGTGAGTTCCACATGGTCATGCCGAGTGTTTCAAAGACCCTTCTTGGTCTGTGGCGGGCCCCACTCCAGTACATAAGTCATACTTAGATACTGTTCGTCACACATGTACTTTTCATTATGAATCACTTAGTGTAATCAGAGAGGTGTGGGCCTACCTGTTCCCACCCCATGCTGCCTGCTTCAGCGGCACTCTGCCTTTCGGGGGACAGCCTGTGCTGAAGAGCACCACCGATCTGAGATGAACGATATGAAACCTGAACTCCAGGGAGAACAAAAAAGACAAGAACAACCAAGATTTTCTTATTTTTTTAAAAGTTGAACAACAGATGAACTGGTAGCAATGCCTTGTTGTGATGTGCCGTGGAGTCGGTTCCGACCCATAGCGACCCTGCTCAGGGTTTGTTGTTGTTGTGATGTGCCGTGGAGTCGGTTCTGACCCATAGCGACCCTGCTCAGGGTTTGTTGTTGTTGTGATGTGCCACGGAGTCGGTTCCGACCCATAGTGACCCTGGCTCAGGGTTTGTTATTGTTGTGATGTGCCGTGGAGTCAGTTCTGACCCATAGCGACCCTGCTCAGGGTTTGTTGTTGTTGTTATGTGCCGTGGAGTCGGTTCCGACCCATAGTGACCCTGGCTCAGGGTTTGTTATTGTTGTGATGTGCCGTGGAGTCGGTTCCGACCCATAGCAACACTGCTCAGGGTTTCTAAAGTTGTAAATCTTTACGGGAGCAGAACATCTCATCTTTGTCCCGTGGAACAGCTGGCAGTTTTGAACTGCTGACCTTGAGAGCAGTGACTTAGGAGACCTGAAAACAACCACAATCCTAAACTAACAATAAAGAAAGCCAAGAACAACTAAGTAAGCATTAGAGAACTCTCAAAGGCTTAGAAACTGAAAGTACCAGGTCTGATGGAAACTTGATCTTTAAAGAAGCAGCTAGATCATCCAGATCTCTTCTTCCCTAACAGGAAGCTAGGTCTATTCTTTGGGAGGGCCAAAGAAAGGACCCTCTAAACTGGGTGGGAAAATAGTACCAACTTCCATAACCATAGTACAGGAAAAATACAAATAACCAGACCTTTTACTCCACAAAGACTAAATTCCCTAGTCTTTCTAAGGAATCTAAATGTTGTTGTTGTTAAGTGCCATAGAGTCAGTCCCAACTCATAGTGACCCTGGATAGGATTTCTGAGGAGGGGCTGGTGAGCTTAAACCGCTGGCATTGCAGTTCAAACCAATCTTACACTATAGTGCATTAACCCACAGCACTACTCCAGAGAACCTATATCCTATAGGGCCATAGCAGGGCTCCTTAGAAGAACTAAAATAAAATGGTAATGCCAAGTGCTGGCAAAAAGAAAGACTAATTAGGACTTGTATATTGCCAGTGAGTTTATACTTTGGAAAGCAGTTTAGCAACATCTAGTTACTAAAGCTGAAAGCACCCGAATCCTAAAACTCACAACTCCCACCCCTCCACTGTCTACTAGACAGAAACAAGCACCTGTATCCACCAAAAGACATGTGTAAAGATGTGTGCAGGGCAACAATTTGTAAAAGCCCACAACAGAAATCATGTAAATGCCCATGAAAACATAGAATTACTGTTTACATATAGATTTGTATATTCATATAAAAGGAACCCTGGTGGTGCTGTGGGTTAGGAGTTGGGTTGCTAACTACAAGGTGAGTGGTACAAACCCAGCAGCTATTCCACGGGAGAAAGATGAGACTGTCAGCTCCCATGGAGATTTACAGTCTTGGAAACCCTATTCAGGGTCACTATGAGTTGGAATCAACTCAATGGCAATGAGTTTGCTGTGGGGTTTTTGGTTTCACTCATGTAAGGGAATTCGGCACGGCAATGAGAATGAATGGTGTACAAACATTATGAATAAACCTCCCTGACATACTGCATAGGGGGAAAGCCCAGACACAAAAGAACACAGACTATCCAGAGAAGCAGTGACACCAGAGATGGAGGCAGAGATGGGAACATGGAGAGAGGGAGCAGCTGAGGATTCTAGATTCATGGGAAGAGAGGGACTGAGAGCTGGCGGCCAGGAGGCAGACTTGCAGAAGGTGCCCTTTGGTGGTGTAAAGTATTATTTATGCCTGAGTGGTTCTTTAAAAAAAAAAGAGCTGAAGTGAATAGAGAGAAACACTGATAACTGATGGTACATGGACGGGATTTAATCATTGTAATGAAACAAGGTATATGATTTTATTGAGTGTAAAACTGATGATCTGCCCTGTGAACTTTCACTCAATCTACAATAAAAACCTTTAAAAAAAAAAAAAAAAAAAGGAATATAGACTATAGGGGTGGAGGTGTGCCGTGGAATTGGTTCGGACTCATAGAGACCCTGAATAGGGTTTCTGAAGCTGCAAATCTTTATGGGAGTAGAAAGCCTCATCTTTCTCCTACAGAATGGTTGGCAGTTTCAAACTGCTGACATAGAGGTTAGCAGCCCAATTCATAACCACTACATTACCAGAACGCCTACACACTATACGATCCGTTTATAAAAGAGATCACTACAGCCAAAAGCAATCCACGTTGTTGGAAGTGGTAATCTGTGGGTTAGGACAGGGTGAGAGGTAGTGTCAGGAAGCACACATAGACAACCATACTACCAAATAGGAATTTTTTAAATCACCATGCCAGAAAAACTTTGGTTTCTATAACAATATTCGATTCAAAATAAAAACACTGTTAAGGTTACTTTAAGCAAGGAAGATTCAGAGATATACTTCAAAAGAATGATTTGGCTGCATATATACAGGGGCTTTGAGTGTATTCCTTAATTGTTGTACTTTTACAAGTTAAAACTGTAATAGTTTAGTATTTTCTTACGCAAAGTATCAAATTTTTGTTTCCATTTCGGTCAATGCACTAGACAACAAGGTTGGTTTGAACCATAAACTGGTCAGCGATTGAAACTCACCAGCTACTCCTCAGAAACCCTATACAGGGTCGCTATTCATCAAGCTGACTAGACACTTTAGACTAACAACAACCACCTTAGAATACCTCAACTCTTAAGTGCTCTCAAGTCAATTCCAATTCATAGCAACCTTACGCTGTTGTTTTGTGCTGAGGACTGAGTTCTGACTCTTACTAACTCTGTACCGGGTGTTCTGAGAAGTGGCTGGAGAGCTTGAACTGCCCAACTTGTGGCTAGCAGTTCAATGCTTACACTACAGCACCACACCAGAACAGAGTGAAATGTTTCACAGGGTTTCCAGGGCTGTACTCTTTACAGAAGCAGACTCCCTGCTTAGTGGCTGGTGTTTGAGCCCCTACCTTTTGGTTAGCAGCCCAACGCTTGGGATCTTTAAAGGATCTTCGAGCCATTTCCAGCATCTCTAATACAGTCTATGAATAAGCACACACTCGGAAAGCCATCTTTGAAAATGTTAACACAATCAAAAGCTGTATCTAAAAAATGTTTTCCCCTCAGGTCATTCCAGACTTGGTCAACTACGGGTGAGGCTCATTTATGATCACTGTTTTATGATCATTGTAAAAAACTAAGGAGATCATTGTAACAACACTAAGGAGACGGAACTCTCAAAAATTTCTACCAGCCCAACTTTACAGACGTCTGCTGTCGTGACCCCTTGTGGTTATTTACAAAAACAACAAACTTAAATTTTGGATTGTAAGACTTCAATAAAAAAAAATACAAAGCTGAATTAAGTAACTAACGAACAAATGCATGGCTTGGTAAACACACGATAATCATAACCATTCAAAACATCAGAGAGAAAATAGAGAGTAAGGGAGGACCGAATCTAGCCTTACCTGCTAGGGTTTGTAGGTAATCTAGACTTGGAAGAATAGGAGGTGATCTTCGCTGGAGAAAAAAGATGACCATCATTGTCAGGGAGAAATTTGTAATCCAAGCACCAGGAATACTACTTGTGAGTGAATGTGCTCGAGCCCAGCATCGGATACTGAACACCAAGGCCCTTACTCGGGAGTCCAAGGCACCATACATGTACAAGAGTTCAGATGTTTTCAAGGCAATCCTTTAAAAAGCAATGAAAAGAAATTTTAACCTCCAAAATTCCCATGCAAAGGTAGAATAAGGCATATGAGTGTACTTGGAAGCATATATATTTACCTTAATACACTTGAATGTATTCAAAACACCATGATCACATAATCAAAAGCAAGATACATTTGCAATATGAAGAGTTAAATATCAAACTCATTCATTAAAACATTTTTTAAATGTTGAGAATAACACTGTAATTGTAAAACTTATGCATTTTTAAGTTAAAGTCCTTAAACATGATCTCCATAAAATAGCAAAATATACTACCTAATTGCTCCTTTAATAATTATCAATAAAGCTATAACTATTTTTGTAAATGGGATTTTACATCTTAATTTCATGAGGGTGATCAAAAAGAAACCCCTCCCTCAAGACTTCTACACTCTTCAATTTACACTAAAACGGAAGTTTGGGCATCTTCTAGAAACTCAAATCTGGTTCCTTATAAATGTTTTTTGAGTTTGGGGAATATAAAGAAGTCTGAAGAGGGAAGATTACGGCTTTAGGGCAGATGGGGTAAGGTTTCTCATAGGACAGCCCTTACTACCCTGAAAGAATGAGCAGGTGTATTTTGTGATGAAAAATAATTCCTCAGTGCAACTTTTCTGGCCTTTGTCTCACCAATGCAATTTTCTGTTTTCTTAAATTGTCTTCATAATAAGGCCCCATGATTATCCAGTGCCTTTCAAGAAAATCTATTAATATCATGCCTTTGTAATTTCAACAACCAGTTATCATAAACTTCCTCTGAGCTAACGTCTCTGGCCTTCAATTTAACTGGCTCAGCCACTGTTTTTTTCCATTGTGAATTACTGAGTGAAGGCTGACAGACAAGATCACCAGTTTTACATGGGACAAATCATACACTTGATTTCACCTCAATGACTGCAATCCCTTCCATGCATCGAGCTGTCCCACTTCCTCCCTGTGGTTACTCATGTACAAATATCTTCTTTCAAACTCTTACATAGTTCTGGGATATATATATATATAAATATATTCTACTCCTCTTTCATTCAGTCTGTGTTGTCTGTCCACATACCTACACACAGAACACTGTTGTCCCAAGTTTGTGTGTGTGTATGCCACTACTGACCTCTATCCCCTTTAGCTCTTGTGTAGCTTCCTATGTCTTCACCGGTCTTCATCAGTCTTCTGCCAAACCTCCCCCTTCTGTATACTACCCTCCTCCTTCTTGTACATTGCTCCATCCTGTCACCTGAGTTAACATGTGTCTACCCTCTAACCAATGAATTACCCTCTTTGCATCCCCCTCTCATACCTGGTAAGCATCAAAGAATGTTTCTTTCAGTATGAAAACCTTTTCTTGAGTTTTTACAACAGTGGTCTAAATCAGTATTTGTCTACCTGTATGAGATGAAAATTGTCAACAACAACCCCAAAACTTATACAGGAAACTTAAGAGGGCAGTGAATTTATGGTAATGAGGAATACCTCAGAAAAGGAGGGAGAGAATGGCAGTGTGACTCAAACCATGTCATTAACGTCACTCAATTATACAAGCACAAGATGCTGAGTTAGTGTAATGAGTTTTGCCGTGTAAATTCTCAATAATAATCAATCAAATGTAGGGGAAACAAAATAAAACATAATGCTAAGGTAGGCATTCTTTATTAATTAAGCAAAACAGTTGTTTACTTTGAAGATTTTAAGGGATATTTTTAGTTTTAGGCTAAAGGTTATCTCAGGGCAATAGTTTTGGGGGTTCATTCAACCTCAGTGTCATTAAAAAGTCTGGATTCCCTGAGAAAATTCACAGAATTATTAGTAAGTTATATTTTTAAATCATGTACCCACTGTTTGACACATGCAAATTTTTAGCAACAGTAATTACGGTTAAAGTGCCGTCAGATCAGCAACAACGTGAGCTGTCACTGGTTCAGTGTTGTGACACCCCTGAGGAGTAGAAATCATGCCCATTTTTCAAGCCAAAAAATGTTTTTTACTATTAAAGAGAACTTGTCAATAGTTAGTATACTGCTGGAACTGGGATTCTAACTCAAGGCTGTGAATTCCAAATCCTTCACGTGAAACATCACCTTCTATTATTCAAGAGAATCATCTTTTCTCATCCAGTTTAGTAAAACAAAGCACGAAAATGATAACTTACTTGCAAAGGCATACTGTTTACTAATTCATCTGAAAACTGTTTAAATAAAATTGTATTTGGTTGAAGGAGACTTGACAGCATCACTCTCTAGACAGCTAATTAGTCTTCAGCTACTTGTATGGTAGAGTCCTGGCGTGGCGCTGTAGATTAAAGCACTTGACCACCTTACACACACTGTAGGATAAGGTCGGTTTGAACTGCAAGGTTGGTGGTTCAAATCCACCAGCCGTTCCTCAGAAATCCTATACAGGGTCACTATCGGTCAGAACCAATTCAATGGCACTTACAACAACTTGTATGGTGGAGTCCTGTTATAGCGCTATATGATAAGCACTGGACTGCTCACCACAAGGTTGGCGACTCAAACCCATCAGCTGCTCCTTGGAAACCCTATATATACAGGGTCACTGTGAGTTGGAACTGACTCAACAGCGCTTAACAATAACAATAATTTTATGGTACATAAGAAATAACATTGCTCATGTGTGCATTGTAAATTTTTAAAGAACCACTAGAGGGCACAAAATCCTTTAAAAAGAGAAAATTCAAACTGTCTACAGTATCCTCAGGACATTTACTTCCTGGGTTTAAAGGGAATCTGAGAAATGACAAAGGAGAAAATCACAGTGATTCATTATTTTACACATAAATAAATAAACCTAAATTAAGCTGAAAACTAAGTAAATAGATGTTGCTGTTGTTAAGTGCCGTCCGGTCGGTTCTGACCCATAGCGACCCTGTACAGGGTTTCTGAGGCTGTAAATCTTTACGGGAGCAGAAAGCCTTCTCTTTCTCCCACAGAACAGCTGGTAGTTTCGAACTGCTGACCTTAAGGTTTGCAGCCCGATTCGTAACCACTATGACCAGAGCTTCTTAGTAAACAGATGAGGAAGCTTCAAAAAGTTCATAGAAAAATTCCATTATCTTTCTATTCCATTTTTACATGAACTTTCTGCATGTGAAAACCAGAAAAAACCAAAAACTTAAAACCTTGTAACAACAAGACAAAGACAGAAAAAAACAAAAAATTACAAAGATACTATCATTTTGTCATACTTTGTGGACTACGTGACGTAGTAATGATAGAAAATGTAGTTTATATTTTTATATTAAAATTTGGCATGAAATCACAAAACCTTTACTCCATGGGTTACAAGACAGGAATTCAGAAGTACTGGCTTGTTATAAACACATTTAAATAAAACTGCTCTAGATTGGACTTTCTTAAACTCTTTTTAGTTATTGATTACCTACCAGATAGTTAATCTATTGAATTCAAATACATACAATGAGAATAGTAGAGTTGGGAAGTAAATTCCTCACTTGACAAATTTCCCTAGTGAAAACTGAAGGAAAGGAATTAGAGCATGAAAAAAAAAAACTTGTTATTCATACTCCACTTTTTTTAAAAAAAGCAAACAGCTAGCAAGCATAATAAAAATCAAATATGCAGAAGACAAACTGTCCAGTCTTAAACTACTTAATGACCTAAGGAAAGAAGATAACATTTGTGTATTATAAATAGTTGGCCTGGTGGCAATTCTAGTCAAACTCAAATTGCTACTTTATCTTCTAAGTACAAAGACCTTCAAAAAGTTTGTGGAAATATTCTGTCATCCTTCGATCCAATTTTCCAAGAAGTTTGTGAAGCCAGGCTGTATACAGAGGTACTATAAAGAAATACTTCCACCGTTCTATCAGGATATACCAATAAAAACAATGAAATACAGTTCTTCTGAGATGCTGCTAATTAGACACGTATGGTGAGATGGATGCCCTCACCTGGCTCTCCTGACCAATGCTGTCCATTCTGTGGTGCATTATAAACCCTAGCCTCTGTGCTGTGGTTATGGTCCCATTTTGGACTGAGATGCCCATGTTAATGAGGCAGGATTAGGGTAGGATACATATTTAGCTGTTGTTGTTGTTAAGTGCCATCAAGTCAATTCTGACTCATAGTAACCCTGTGTAGGATTTCCAAGGACCAGCTGGTAGGTTTGAACTTCCAACCTGACAGCTAGCAGTCTAGTGCTTACCCAACAGCGCCACACCAGAATTCCGTCTCTTTAGTAGGTGACACATCACTAGAGGGTCTGACTGAAGTCACTACTCTTAATTTCTTTGAGGGTGCGGACTGCACCCAATATACTGGAATGCTCTGGCAAAGTTTTCTGTTTCTCTGGATCCTGCATCTGGCCTCTAGGTCTTGGGACTGAAGCAGTTCTTGAGACTTGAGCCAGCGACCTCCACAGCCCTGTGAGCCAGTGGCCGGTTGTCTGACTTGCCAATTTGGATTCTTCAGCCCCAACAGCCACACAGGTCAGGTGAGGCACCCAGACTGATGCCTTGCCAGTTTCCACAACTGTGTGAGCCATTGCATTGACAGTTCTTGAAGGAATGGTACAGCAGTTTGGAAAAACTGGATACTTAGGACCTCTTTAACCTCTGCCTCATAGGAACCAGCTCTGTGCTCTTCCGTTCAGATTATTTGTGCAATAAATCTACATTTTAATATACTATCCTTACACTTTTAGGAACATCAAAACAAAGATAAGAATGTATTTCCTATTTTCAACTCAAGTGTTCACATTTAAAAAAACAAAACAAGAAACAAGAAAAATAATTGTTAACGCACATTTAAGAATCCAAAACTATCGTTTCTGTACAAGAGAACTATACTGTTCCAATATTTGCATTTAACATGATACACTGAAGAGTGCTGCACCTACCTATTGTTAGTGGTCAGGTCACACTGAAACCCAGAGGCCTGATGAGAAAACCTCACAAGCGGGCATCGAGCATTTAATATTTTTTGCACACCCACACAGCCGGGGCCAAAATGGTCAAGACACTCTCCAATCACAGACAGAATCTTCTGAGTTGCAATTCTTTCTGAAGATACACTTTTCACTTGAAATTCCATCAGAAAATTTCCTGAGGTCTGAATAATAAAAAGATTTGTAAACAGAAGATTTTTGCAAAAGGAAATTCTGAAATAAACTTTCTAAAAGGGCACTCTAAATGATTTCTGAGAAAAAATCAAGACCCCATAGATATCTTTCATGTAATCAAAGATGAAAGTAGATGTGAAAGATCTTCACTTGTGCCTTTTGTTTCTCTAAATTATAAACAATCATTGTCTTTTTATCATTACCTTATATACCAGTGGTTACGAATCAGGCTGCAAACCTGAAGGTCAGCAGTTTGAAACTACCAGCTGTTCCGCAGAAAAAAGATGAGGCTTTCTGCTCCCGTAAAGATTTACAGCCTCAGAAACCCTGTACAGAGTCGCTATGAGTTGGAACTGACTCCACGGCACATAACAACAACAGCATACATTGTAAAGTGATAGCATATATAGAACCACCAACTCTATAAAGTCAGTGAAACAGATCTGCCGTTTTCTAGTAAGCTGTCAAGTTTTACTAGAGGCTATAAACGGTAGCGTAGTGGTTACAAATCAGGCTGCGAACCTTAAGGTCTGCAGTTCGAAACTACCAGCCGCTCCACGGGAGAAAGATGAGGCTTTCTACTCCCGTAAGGATCTACACCCTCGGAAACCCTGTACAGGGTCGTTATGGGTCGGAACTGACTTGACAGCACTTAACAACAACAACATAAACCCACAGGTGCAAGAACAGCAAATCAAATGAAGAAAATAAGACAGTATAAATAGACTTAATTATTTGTAGGAATTTTGGAGTCCTGGTGTGTTGCTGTTCCACAGGAGAAAACCCTATATACAGAGTCGCTGTGAGTCGGAACTGAATCCACAGCACATAACCAACCAACAAACTAGCCCTCAGAAACCCTATACGGGATCACTATAAGTAAGAACAAACTCAGCGGCACTTAGCAACAACCAATCTAGACATTTTTAGTATTTAATAAAACGATGTCTGCAAATTACTGGATTAAAAATTATTAATACAATGAATGAATCAAGTGATCAGTGTTGTTGTTGCTGTTAAAAACCATCAAGTCAGCTCCGACTCACAGCAACACTGTATAGTGCTTCCAAGGAGTAGCTGATGGCTTTGAACTGCCAACCTTGTGGTTCACAGTCCAGTGCTAATCCTCCAGTGCCACATTCAGAGTGGTCATGAGGAATAAATAAACTCAATAAAAACCAGATCCCTAATTTAGTCCTAAAACCAAAGTAAATTCAACATGCATACAAGATTTCAATGTAAAAAGTTTTAGCAGAAACACGAGAAGATAATGGCTGAATGTTTTTATAATTTCAGAGTAGAAGAGGGTTCTCCAGCATGACACAAAAGGCATATGTCTGCATACAACTGAAAACTCTTAGGGCAAAGAATACACTCTCAGGCGACAAAAAGACAAAGCAAGACAACAGTACCCATGTTACCCAAAGGACTAATTTCCCTAATTTAAGAAGGACTCTTAAAACAAATAAGGGGGACAAAACACACAACTTTTTAAAATGTGCACAATATACATGAATAAGATGTTTACATAAGAGATTAGAAAAAAAAAAGAAAAAGGCTAAGGAGTATAGTAAAAAAAAATGCCCACATTTTCTAAAATCTAAAGAAGTGGAAATTAGAAAAGCAATGAGGTATTTCCTGTACTAGACTGGCTAAGAGAAAAAGGCTGACAATTCACTCACCGGTCAATGAAGGCGAACATGTACTCAAACACACTGTGGATAGGAGTGCAAACTAGTACACGTGTTGGAGAACTTGCCAGTATCTGCTGAAACTTTTCATGCTTAATACTTTGCCTATCGTGCTACAGGATACACACTGGGGCTGGGAACCACAAGGTCGATGGTTCAAATCTACCAACTGTTCCTTGGAAACCCTATATGGGGTCACTTGAGTGGGAACAAACTCAACAGCACTTAACAACATCAAAAGTGTAGAAAACTTAGTGTATACCCTTTGGTTGGTTGATGATGCATGGAGGGTATTGCAACCATGGCAATGAAACAATATAGGATAGGATGAATGTAAAACTAATGTTCTCCCATGTAAACTATCACATCATTCACAGTAAAACATTTAAAAAAAAAAAAAAAAAACTTAGAAAACTATCCCAGAGAAATATTTGCATAAATGAGCCAAGTGACAAAGATGTTGCCTCAGGGCAGCATTATTCACGTAGCAGAGACCTTCTGGGAGGTCTTCCCAATAGGATTTTGATAAGCTGGGCATGGGATTGCCAGGAATAGGGGACTGACTTGACTTCATGGCAGTTAACAGCCTGTCTTAAAAAGGCTCCCCACCCTCAACCATGAGGAGTTGTAGTGGTGCAATGAATTAAGTGCTTGAATTCTAACAGAAAGATCAGCAATTCAACCCTGCCAGCAGCTCCACAGGAACAAACAGCTGGCCATCTAGTCCCATAAACAATCTCAGCCTAGGGAACCCTATGGGGCAGTCTATCCTTGTCTTATAAGCTTGGAACTCACTCAATGGCATCAATCAGCAATCATGCTCTTTCCTATGAAAAGGAGTAAGGCTTCCACAGCCACGTTCACACGGGGAAACCCAGCCCCTTGTGTCCAATGGAGTCCTCCTGGCCTGGCCAGCTGACCAGCAGCACTGTAGCAGTGCACCATCCACTCTTCCTGAGCTGTCTACTGGACATCGGAATGGAGAGTAAGGTGCAACCAGTCAGTCTCTGCTTGTGGTTGACATGCAAGGGGGCTTCAAAAAGTCTGTGGAAAAATTCCAGTATCTTTTCAGTTCATTTTCCACAAATTGTTTTAAAGCCCTCTCACATGTAACTGAGAAGCTGTGGTGGGGGTGGTGGTGGCGGGGGTGGTTATGTGCTGTGGAGCCGGTTCCGACTCACCACAACCCTGTACAGGGTTTCCAAGGCTGTAAATCTTTATGGGAGCAGAAAGCCTCATCTCTCTCCATGGAACAGCTGACAGTGAGATTAGCAGCACTACCTGTCACCACTAAGCTACTAGAGCTCCTAACGTATATTTTAGACCATAAGGATAAAAAAAACACAGATAATCAATGAGGGGAAAAGGAATGATGAGGGAAAGAGAAAGAAAGAAATGAAGCAGATGTATGGAAACAAATAGATCTTGGGTTCTAGACAGTTTTCCAGGCCAGAGGTCTAGCCCTGTGCCGAGGCCAGCAGCATTTCTGACATTGGGCTCTGTCACAGCTCCTATACTGCTTTCTTTCCCCCTTAAATTAATTTGGGTTGGTTTCTTTTAGTTAGCCTAGGTAGCTTTCTATTTACTGGGATGCCTTTCTATTACAGAGAATAAAAAGAAAGATCCAAAAATTCAGTGGAGCCTTTTTATAATAACACATCTCGACAGCTTTTGTTTCCCTCCTACAATGTACTGCAAAATACAAATGCACACAAATTACATGGGAAATTAATTCTTGTTAAGTTCCAGCATATCAGTTCTGACCCAAAGCGACCCAGTATGGGGTTTCCAAGGAGCAGCTGGTGAGCTTCAAATGCTGATCTTGCAATTCAAACCAACTTTGCAGGGCAGCGCATTAACCCACAGCGCCACACCAGGACTCCCATGGGAAACAGGAACCCAAATTCAAGCAACTGACACAAAGTATGGAGCTCCTTAAGAGAAAAATAATAAAGAGGACCATTTTCTATCAAGATTAAGTAGGACCTGAAGAGAGAGGCAGATTTGGGGTCAAATAATCTCAGATGGCAAAGAAAGTCAATTTGGAGACTAGAATCAGACTAAATGGTAGAGGAGCAACGTCAGACGCAGCAGCCCAGGAAATGTTAGAAACAAATAAGAATGAAAACATGATTTTAAAAACAAATTCATAAACACTACAGATGAGAAAACAATTAAATCATTCAGATAAGAGACGTGAAAATGACACAAGAATAGAACTGATCTAAACAGCAGAATCTGAACAAAGAAATTGGAGGGAGACTCTTCTCTAAGCAGGCCCCACTCCAGCTACGTTCCTGGCATTTGGCAGAATAGCAGTTTCTTGCCCAGGTGAGGTCAGGCAATCATACATCTTATACTGGTCATTGAGCTGTGAGCAGCAGTATCAAGAGTCAGGGACCAATTCCCCAATTTGCCTTTCCACTGCTTAAGTGATCATGGAAATAGGGCAAAACGAAGCCTTCCTCAGCCTGGGAGCTTGAAAGACCACAATGCTTACAGTGTCTCTGTAGACCTGCTTTGCGGTAAAAGATAAAACAGTAGATGTATGACGTCACTAAGATGTGGCAACATGTCGTTGCTGTGCGCCATCCAGCTGATTCTGACTCACAGCACCACCCTGGAAGACAGGCTGCTGTAATTTTAAATTTCCCTGGTAGGTTCAAATCATTGACAATTCTGTTTGTAGACGAGAGCTTAATCATTGCACAAAAAAGCACGCCTATCCTAATCTGACTGACTGGACGAAAGATCAAGACCCACATGTGGACTTAAACTGTGAAATATGACACTGTGAGTGTGGACATTCCAGATGCTGAAAAATGTTACCTGTTATGACCAAAGATAAGACTTTTTCAAAACTTTCTCTTCCCTATCGTGTAAGTAAAAATTGGAAAATGTCTTCAGAAACATTTAATTCAGTAATATTTAAAATATTTCTTATTCCTATAATACAACCTATTGTCAGATAAGTTTTTAAAAATATTATTGTCTAGTCTTCCTTCCCCTCTAAGTATGCCAGCATTTAATTAGGGGGTGGTGGTTATATGCCGTGGAGTC